CCTTCATTTCTCCGCCGCGGATGCATTTCTTGCAGCGCCGACCAAGCGGGGGTGCCACAAAGTATAAGAAAGAAAAAAAATAAATAAAAATAAAAGAGCAATTGCAGCCGGGAGGCGGCAGGGTCAGAGGTCGGGGGAGAAAAGGGCAAAGGAATGGGAATAAAACACAAACGAAGCAGATGAAGAGGAATGGCTAAATTAAGAAATGCAGTTCAGAGTGCAACAGCAGCAGCGGGGAGGAGGGTGAGGAGGTAGATGAAGAATAAATAAATGAACAAAACAAAAAAAAAAAAGAATATGTTCTACGGCAAATGTACACAAAGTAATAAATATTGATGTGCGCGGGAGGGAGGGAGGAGGGCGAGGAGACCGAACTGTGGACCGAACATTCCGTTTACATGTGTTCGTCCGTTGCTGTGCTGCCAGCAGCAGATACAAGATACAAGATACATTTAATAATTCACAGATGCATTTCCAGCAGATGTGTTAAAATTCGTAGAGTAATAAAATAACAAATCAAATGCAGGAAAAGGCAAACTTCAAAGGCTCATCGAAATACTTTTCTGTTTACAGATGCGACTCGAACCGCGGCGATAAACAAATAAAAAAATTAAAAGCTTAAGATGTGATGAGTTAGACTCGAAAGCTGTTACTAAAAACCCAAACTCCTACTCAAGATGGACTCCATTTCGCTCACTTTGCTGGCTAATTTCACGCCGAATGCAGCCGCCGCCACAGGATGCACAAAAGGACTCAAGCGGCTGGAAAAAGGAAAGCCACACAAGTGCCGCACTGACTGCAATCGAACCTTTCCAGCAAATTGCATTCGCATAAAGGAGAGAAAACTGCAGTTGCACTCAGGCCTCAAGTGGGTGGTTGACTAGTGGGTGGTGGGCGGCAGTGGGCTGCGGATTGTGTGGCAAAGCGCCACCATTATGCCTAAGAGGCAGCAAAAGAGAGGAAAGAGTTTTTTTAGTTGATTGCCAAATTAGAGACGATTACTTCTGCTATTATCCTGGCTAGGGAAAAAGGCGAAGAAATAAGTATCTTCTATCTAACATATCTTACTCTAGCTGAAAGATACTTTAAAATTTTTTAATATTACTTTCTATTTTGCAATAAGCCATTATTCATTTCAAAACAATTGAAATTTTTCGCTCTGTGGAGTCGCTGTCAAATTATAACACATTATAATGCCATTTGCGGCTGCGGTGAAACTATCAGATACAAGATACAAGACAATTTTCTTTAATTTCGGTTTCTCATTTGAGCCGTTATCTGTGCTCCCCTTTTTGTGAGTGGCCCTAATTGTGGCAAGCTGCGTCTTAGGACTCTGCGCCGCCGAAGAGTATCCGCATCCGCAAGATGCACACTGGTACTGGTTCTGGTGCAGGTCTCGCGCTCCGCCGTATCTGCCGGCTATAAATTTTGTATCTCCGACTCTGGGGCAGAGTCTCGGATCCACTCCCCCGAACTAGGTTTGTATCTCTGATGTGGTTCGGTGTGTGTGTTTGTCTGTTTGTAATTGCGTAAACAGACTCGTACATATTTTATTTTATATTTTATTGTTTCGCTCCGCTGCGCTGCGCCATAAGGGCAGATACCTATAATTTTCTTATGTCTTTCCTACAATGAAAACACACCGAAGCAGCAACCGACAACCGGCAACACAAGCTGAAACTGAAACTGAAACAGAAACAGGCTATGGCAATAATAATCATCATCATCAACGTCGTCATCGTCATCGTAGTAGTCGTCGTCATAAAGACAACAGTCGCGACTGCACTAACGACGGCAAAGTGTATCTGTATCTGTACCCTGTAGACCACAATAAATGCGGAATAAATAAATAAAGTGTAACAAAAGGCAGCCAAATAGATGGAAATATAACAAAAACTTAATACAAGGAAAACAAATGAAGGAACGCAGCTGGAACATTAAAATGATGAACGGATATGGCAGGAGAACCTATTCAAATACCCACCGCCAAGGGTCCAAAGTTTTAATATCATAAAAAAAAATCACATGGCTAATATTACACTTTGTGTACAAAGTACTAGTACCAATAAAATAATTCACACTATCAAAAGAAATAAAATCACATAGCAAAAGTATTCCAAGTTATATAAAGTAGTATAATACGATAAAAAAAAAAAATGAAATCAGATAGCGAGGGCACAAGTATTTGTTATAAACGAACCCAATCTGATACTAAAGTTATACCCCTTAAGTCCAATTAGCCAAAAATGTTTCTATAATTACCCTTCAAGCCAAGTGCACGGAGTTGGACGATGGCCATTGAAAAACCCAGATATATGGTATAGGGCCATATAAATTCTATTGTCCCCCAGTATACGCTAATCGGTTTTTTCTTTTCTTTATTTAAACAATCACCGTCGGCCTGTAAATACAAAGATGATTTGGCCAAAAATCATTCTAGATTCTAGACTCACTGCGTCACTCTACACGAGTCATACAGTTTGCCATTATCAGTCTTAATATAAAAAACTACAAGACCACTGATCACGTAGCGCCAATAAGAACGAATTAAAAATAAAATATAAAAAACAAAAAAAACAAGGAATATACTATGAAGAAAAGAAAAAAAAAGAATCAAGAGAAATCTTATCAGGGAAATTACCAAAGCCAAGAGCTGGAGCTGGAATCGACGCGACTTAAGATTACAAATTGTTATTATGATTATATTCTTGTATTATTTGCACGACGATAAGATCTATGTGGGTTTATGGCCAGCTCGGGTCTGTCATAAAATAAATTACTTATTTATTTCGAGTGCGGTCCGACCAGGCACCGAAAAATTTCCTTTATATAACAAGAACAATTGCTGCAACGTTTATGGCCCAAACGACAAACTAAAGAAATTATCGAAATTGCCTCGTAAATTATAGAATTCACATATAATTCATGCGACTGAATTCCAAAGTGCCGCCCGCCTTACGAAATCCTTTAATCTTCGAAATGGAAAATGCCTCTAGCCCCTTTTTTTTATATTCCCGATAAGAGGGCCTAACCCTATAGATTTTCCCATTGGGCTACCGGGGTGGCCCATGGCTATGCTATAAGTCTCTGTGCGATCGGGCTCGTTTATGTAAAAAGTCAGCGGACATAAATTTGATTTATTTCCCGGCTTGGGTTCGAATCAATCAAAGTGTTTTTATGAGCTCCAGAGTCCGGACTATAGACCTCACAGGAAACAGCCCGTTGACATTTGGATTACGAGTTGGGCCCGAAAAGAAAAGAAGATTCACACGGTAAGAGTAAATATTAAAACATGAAAGAAAAGTATAAAATAAAGAAAACAAAACCTCTTTAAGCATTTCCTTTAGATCGGTAGAGTTCAAGCAACCTGCTTAGCATAAAACCAGAGATACACATAGACTCGGTAGAGTAATTATGACTAACACTGGAGAGGACAAAGCTGGTGGAGAAGCTTGTCTAGGAGTGAGTGGGCGGGGGGCCCGCCGCCCTTGGCTGTCAAAGAACTTTCAGCACTTGGCAATTTTCAGTAATTTTCTTGCAAACACAATTCGCAAACGCACAAAAGAAAAGACAAAGCAAATACAAGGAAAAGTCAAGGAACTCGCACAAAAATTTTGATGGGTGGGAACAGGAACTGGGGTCGGGGTAGTGTCTGGAAAAGCCCTCAACTTGTGACTTTTCCTGACGGCTGGGTCGCCGGAAAACTGCGTGTGTGTCTCGGTATCTCTCGCTCTTGCCCTGTGTGTGTGTGTGCTACTCTCACCCTGCCTGGCCCTGGGTGTGAGTCCATGAATGAAAGCCCCCAAAGAGAAGAAAACTCTCACAATTGACTTGGCCAAGTGCTATGGACTCTATTAAGTAACAGGCTCCCAGCTTCAGCTTCCTCCTCTCGTTTGCTTTTTTGGCCAAAAAGTCTTGTGGGGGGCCGTAGGAACTCCCCCTCTAGTGACGTCGTGAAATTTTTGGTGGTCTTCCAAATGGAGTAGCACTTTTTGCTTTTACTGCCAGCCGTCTATTTCTTCTTGATTTTATTTCTCATTTCATTTTAATAAATTAACCAAGGAGCCTGATTTTTTTGAACGCATAAATATGCAGTATCTGTATCGTGGAGCCTTCATCTAGTATTCATATTCATGAGTCTGGCTCATTTATTATATAGATTTATTTGTACGGGTCTAGATTCTAGATAGGTACATACATATATGTATAAACAAATCGAGTGCAAAAGTAACACGGCTCTGGAAAAATATGCCAGCTAAAGAATTAATGCTCAATGTCAGCGTTTGAGGTAAAGTAAATATTAAGTGTTTATCGCAGATATACTAATGCCATACTATACTATATATATGTCGGAATATATGATATATGAAAAAGTATATGAGACAAAATGTTAAAGCCAAGAATGCAGGGAAAATCGGAAGCGCATTAGTTGCAATTATGGAGAATCAGATGCACGAGACGAACAAATCAAATATTTGTGCGACTTTTGTTTGCCTTGCCATCAATTTTTGCCAATTTGTTTATAATTTTGTTGAGTTTCTCTCCCGCTTTGTCTCCTTGCTGGATTTTTATTATTTTCTGCGGCATTTTGTGCCTACTTGCCGTCTTTTGTAGCGCATTTGTATGCGTGCATTGTGCAATTTTCGTCATTAGCATTAAATGTTGTTGAATTATTTTTCAAGTCGCTGACGCACTTAATGTCGCGACCTCGCCCCCCTTGACCCCCTCTTCGTTTTAAAGTGCTTCTTATACAAATAGTAAATCGGCATTAATTTGCGATCTAATAGAAATAACAGCGCTCTGGGTAAATGCAAAAGATTTCGTTAATATGCATGCACTCCTGCACTTTCCAAACTAAATAGGCGGCCTACACGGCGAATGCGCAATATGCTAAATAGTGTGGAGGACGGGGGAGGGTCAGAGGTCGATGGGGAAGTGGATTCCCAACAAGCTATGTACTTGGTTCGTACTATACTACATATGTAAAGACTGCCACTTACCCTCTCTTCCTCGCGTATCATTTCGGCAATTTCTGGCTTGATTTCCATGTCGTCGTGATGGGAACCCACTGAGGAGGCGGATGCACTGCCTCCGGCTCCTGCTCCCGCTGAGGGGGCAGCGGCTCCTGCTCCTGATCCGGCTGCGGCAGCCCCTGATCCAGCGGCGGCTGCTGCCAGGGCACTGGCCATGGCGTGGGAGTGGGCCAGCTGGTGTTGGGCGGCCAGTTGCTGGGCGGCAGCGGCGGCGGCGTGGTGGTGCATCGAGGCGGGTGGAGCCGGTGGTACGACGGCGGCATGATGGGCGGCAGCGGCCACTGCGGCGGCCATGTGCGGGGGCAGAGCAGTCTGGGCGGCACTGGCGCCGGGTGGGGAGTGCAGTGCAGCTCCACTGCTGCCGCTTCCATTGCTGTGAGCCGAGGGCGGCGGCGGGGAGCTCCGAGAGGTTCCCCGTTCGTTGGACGAGGCGCTCTGCAGGCTCTGGGGGTTGGGCGAGGCGAAGGGATTGCGGACTATCGTGGAAGTGGTCATGGCCAAGGGCTGAGTCTGGCTCTGGTTTCCTGGAGTGGCCCGTTCCGAGGTCTCGGAATCTCCGCCCTGTAGCGAGGGGCTGGGAGTGGCGTAGCTGCCGTCGCGGGAACGTTTCCGCTGGCGCTGATTCAAGTCAAGGGCTCCATCCGCCAGCAATCGAGGTCTTTTGGCCTTCAGCTCGTCCTCCGGATCAGCGTCGTCGTGCTGTCGGAGAATGGCAGCTGCCGCCGCCAACTCCTCCTCGTCGTCCTCATCGTCGTAGACCGACATGGGATGGGCGGAGGCTCCGCCGTCTCCCCTGCCTGCACTGACCTCCGCCAGGCCGCGGATCTTCAGCGTCTCGGCCACTTTCAGCAGGGGATTGATCTGATCCTGGCACACATTAATCTCACCCTTGTACATGAACTCCACCAGAGCCTTCAGATCCGACCAGTTGACGTCCCGCATGATGATGATCGGGTGCTGGCAGGGATTGTCGTAGAACAGGGCCTGGAAATACGGGGAGCAGGCGGACAGCACCATCTTGTGTGCCTTGATCGAGTGTCCTTCGCAGGCGAGAGTCACGTCCACGAAGGACTCGCTCTGCAGAAGTTCGTCAAAGACGTTGGTCAGATTGGACTGGTAGTTGTTCCAGCGCAGACAGAACTGCTGGTTGTCCCCACCGCTTCCGGATGGTGGGGCTACTCTTCGCCTGGGCGGCTTCACTTCCGGATTGGTTTTGATTTTGCTCTCCACCGGGACTGATCCTCGGCCGAATTCGAAAAGAGCCGAGGCGGCAATCTTGAGATTTTGCTGGGGCTGCGGGGAGACGGGCAGAGATCGGGACTTCTTGGCCTCCAGGCGCAGTCGCAGCTCGGGATCATCGGGATCCCGCAGACCCACCACCTCGCTGGAGGTCAGTGGGCGTGGTGGAGGCGTCAGGGGCTGATCGTTCAGCAGACTGGCTTTGGCTTTCGCCATTGAATCTGAGTCTGTTTCTGTGGCTGGTTTCTCTGCAAGATCTGTGTCTGTGTGCGAAGCGTTTTCTTTGGACTCTTCCAGACTAGCTTCCATTCCGCTCTCTTGCGGCGACTTGACATCACTGTCCTCCGGCTCTCCCAGGACGGGCTCCACCACCTCCTTGGGCTCTAGCAGGCCCGGCATTGTGTAGTCACTCGGCTCGTACTGTTCCACTCCCGTCATCTCGGTCTCCGACTTTAGCTCAAAGTCCACAATCTGTTTGGTCATGTCCATGGTGCTGGGATGGGTTTTATCGTCTTTGTATATCAAGTGCAGGATTCACCCGGGGATTCCTAACACATTTTCGAAGGCCTTGTTGTCAGAACTTTTCCTGGGAACAGTTCAAAAGCTGCAATTAAAAGAAATTACAAATGATGTTCACAAAAAGATAAATAAACTTGAGTAATATTAAATGGATATATTTAGCAAGAAATATGTATCTTTCCCCTATCATCTGGAAGAGATTTCCAGGAGAACGTATTATTCATAATTTTAAGAGAATTTAATTGGTAAATACAACTATCTCTCATATAAACAAATAGATACAAAGCTCTCAGTTCTTGGAAATTTTAGACAGTCATTGCTGAAACTCAGCAAAAATGAGCAAGGGTCAAAAAATGTCCGTCAATTGGATACATACATATGTCTAGTAAATGGCTAAGTCTATCCCCAACTAATTGAATATATTTGCGGATTTATTATCTAATATCTTGGCAAGCATTTTATCCCCATCATAGTCGTATCACAACTAACACATTTACTCTTGGCCATAACTCTATTAAATAAGCCTATTAATCTTGCCGAAAATTTCCATGAATTTCTATTAATTTATGTTTAGTATTTTCCCTCCAGCCCTCCACCCACACCGCCCACTTGCCCCCAGCCCAGCCCCCCAGTTCAGCCCAGAAATGTGCTTTATTAGCTAAAAGCTAAGCACACATTTATTTATGTTTAATTTGGCTTAATTTATATTACTGAGCTGCAATTATTTGTAGTCTCCTATACGCTTGGCTCGGCTCTGCCAATTGTTATATATACATATATGTATTTATATATCTATATATCTGTATCTGAACAGATACAGACAGTGTGTGGTGTGTGTGCGATTATTGCTTATTTTGTATTGTTGTCTCTGGATCTACTTGCATGCGCATATCGCCCGTCTATAGATTTATATTTAATTAAATATTATTATTTATGGCAGCGCTGAGAGAGAGCCAAAAGTAATTATATTTATTTAAATATTTTGTATAATTTTAATTTATGTGTGTGTGCTCAGGGGATTTCTACAAGAGGGGTGGGTGGACTCTATAAAGTAGGGAGGGCGAGGATGGGACAATGGGTTTTGGGTTAAAAAGTTGCTGGCTCTGCTGGCTGCTATTACATTCGCTGCTGTCATAAAATTTAATTATATTTATTATTATTGTTATTATAATTCTTCTTCTTGCTACTTTTTATGTTTATTATTATTTCATTCCAATTAAATCTTGTGGCTCTGTAGCGACTCATCGTCGTCGTTGGCTGTTATTATTTTTGTTTATTTTATTGTTGTTGCCGTTGCTGTTGCTGGAGAGTCATCGTCGAGGGAGCCTTGCCCCCTGCCTTATCCTTGCCCCCACCGAAAGGAAGAAAATATCTTCACCCACCCCCCCCCTGAAGCTCCACCATTTTGCCTTTTTGGCAACGTTTGGTTTATTGTTATGGCCGCGCTCTGCCTTTTGTTATTCCTTTTATTTATTCATGTTGTTGCTGTTATCGTTGTTCGGCGGCGTTCGCATTAAATTTGATGCTTCTTTGGAAAAAGTCAGCCTCAAATAAATAAATAAGTAAATTGCCTAAATGCAGGGCAAAAAATTGAAAATTCATAACAAAACCGAACTAAAGAATCGCCTTCTTTCGGTGATTTCCCATAGTTGCCTTATAACTTCCTGTCTCCATTTCCTCATCTCGCCGCTGCCGTTTCATTTTTTTATTTTTTGATTAATTATTTATAACGAGCGCAGCTGTTTACAAAAAAAATAACAAAATGAACAGAATACAAAATACAGATGGGAAGTAAATAGCGGACGGAATGCGAGCCACTTCTCCAAGCACTTTATTTATTTATTATTTTTGTATATATTTATTTAATTTATTTTCGCTTCGTTCTCGAGACTCGAGGTTGCGAGTCCTTCCAAGTTGGCAACACAAACATGCACAGACACACAAACACACACACAGACACAAAGCACAAGGAGCAGCAGCACATTTATATATATATATATATATATATATATTGTATATTGTATTTATTTATTAACGCTTATTTATTATTTATGCAGCAAGTAATAAATTACACAGGCAGAGCTCGTTGTTGCTGCTACTGGTGTGCCTGGGCTTGTGCTTGTGCTTCTGCCAGTGCTCTCGGGCTCGTGGAAAATGTTTACAAACTGTTTTTGGCGCGTGCCTCCCACTCGAGGGAAACTCGGAAAAGTTGCTCCTTCGCGTAAGTTTTCTTCTTAATTCCTGAGCGCCCAAAAGACGTCGAATCTACAAGAGCAACAGCAACAGCACTAGCAGCAACAGCAGCAACATCACCAGACACGGCAGCAACACCATCGCTTTTTACGACCATGAGGAGGTTTTTCTTTTTTTTTTTGGGAGGCAACTTGGGGAAGTGGAGGGACTGGATTGTGTTATAAATTAATAAATTACAATTTCTTTGGGTGGAAAGGAAAATGCGCGGAAAATGTGCGGGGCCACTGGATATAATTTATATATGTATGTGTATAGTGAATTTCTATAAGGAGGAAAATCGATTTTCGTGCAGTAGCAATTAAATGCATTGCAACCAGCTCAGCTCAGCTAGCTCACTGTCATTTGTCATAAATAATAATGCACTACAATTATTGTAATAATCACCGTACTATACACCGTACATACACTTGGTCTGCTTTTTCGTAATTTTTGTTTCACTTTCCGACTGCAGCTTAGTTTTCTTCACTTTTTTTTACTTTGATTTTGTGGCATCAACTATATTAATAGAATATTTATTGTTTTGATGTTCACTGCATGCAACACATGCTGTTGCAACTGATTTTTTTTTTTTTTTGTTGTCACCGCTCTTGTCTCACGTCACTTGTTGTTGCTGTTCTTGTTATTGTCTTTATTCTTGTTGTTGTTGTTGTTATTGTTATTGGTGGTAGTGGTGGTGGCTCTTGTTGCCGGTACACAAACGATGTTGCACTCACGACGAAAGTCAGATACGGACTGAAAGATACACGAACTGAAAGATACGCTCTGCGCTGGGGTAGTATGGCACTTCTCAGCTAAAAAGCCGACTGCGAAGAGAGTTCGTATTGTAACGAACTGAAAGATACGAATTCGAAACTGAGCAATTTCACTGAATGGAACTCGAGGCAGCTCAGCCGGCGTTGCCGTCGACGTTGACGGCGCTGCCCACGAACGTGAAACGCTCTCAGCAGCAGAGAGGATTCCGGCGTCGGCGTCGTTTTTCCGGTTTTTGCGGCGAATTCGGTAAGAGGCTTGTTTCTGGCTAAGAGAAGGAAAATAAATTCAAAAAGAAGTTCTCTTCGGGTCTTTGTTTTACTTCATAAGTGATCTTAGGAAATCAAAAATTTATTATTTCAAAAAAAATATATAAAAGAAACTTAATTCTTATCAGGTTTTTTTTAATGAAAATCTTTAAAAAAATATTGAGTTCATATTTTCAGGAAAACTTCTTTCTTCAGAAATTCTCTGCAGTATCTCAAGTCTTCAAAAAGTTTAAAAATATATCCTAGAATTTCATAAAAACAAAAGTACCCTAGCTGTTACCCCAATATCTGAGATATCCTTGCAATTCAAAGCCCAAAATGTGTCCTGTATTGCAACCAACTTACCCTGGGAAATCTCCAGTAAGCCTAAATCGAAGAAAATCGCGAATCAAGATAGCAAATACCAAAAACAAAAAAAAGAAAAGCAATTAAGCCTACTCAAATGCTGGCACCTGCAACCTGAAGAGAAGCAACTTGCAACAACAACTGTTGCAGGCAAGAAAGAGAGATGCTGGCCAGTGTCCAGTAAGAAAGTGTTGCCAATAGTTGCCAACCCTCTGGCGGCGGCCTTCTCCTTCTTCTGCTTCTTCTGCCTGCTTGCGAGGGGGCCGAAAACTATGGCAAAAAGAGCAGAGAAAAAGCTGGCGAAAAGCAACAGAAACACTCTGCCACTTGGCCACGCCTCCAAAGCTCACGCGAGTGAGTAAGACAGCAATCTAGGTTCTCGACGGGCAGGCGAGTGTAAGAGTAAGAGGCAGCAAAGGAGAGAGTGAGAGAGAAAGCAAGTTGGTAGTGGGGGACAAAAAAAACGAAAAAAAAACACGTAAAGGCCAAAAGACGAACGAGCCAACGAACGAGCCGGAAAAGAACGAATGCGGCTTCGGCTCTCTTCTGGCTCTATTCTTCTTCTTCTGCCCTACGACTTGGAGGTGGCAACGAAAAGAGCAAAGAGAGAAGAAAACTTTGCAACAACAACAAAAAAAATATTATAGCCAGAAAAGGGGTGAAGACACAGGCGGCAAAGACACTAGCGGCAAGTGCAATGTTGCTGTTGTATGTAGGTGCAATTTTCATTGCACATGTTGCTTTTGTTGTTGGTGTTTCTCTTGATGACGTCAGATGGTAGGCGGTGCTACGAACGCATTTTTAATATTCGGCTCTCTTGATTTGTTGTTGTTGTTGCTGTTGTTGCAACACGCACAACTGCAGCAATGGCAATTGTAGTAGTTGTTGTTTTTGTGGTTGTAGTTGTTGTTGTTGTTGCTAGTTGACACGTGTGCGCAACCAATAACAAAAACTAAAATAAATCCCCCATTGCTCTCCTCGGTGTGTGTGTGTGTGCGTGTGTGTGTGGTGCGATTTTGTATATTTTGCATATTTTATTCCACTTGCCCTCTCTTTTTTTTGCGACCTTTTTGGCACTCGTGCGAATCGGCGAGCCTCCGAAAGCTTCGTGCTCAACGCCGATTGGCCCAGCCACTCGAAATATATCTACAATATATATAAAATATATATATGTGCGGGCACATGAAATACTTTTATACTTGTATATATCTGCATATATAAATTGTTGGGTGTACATGGGGAAAAAAGCGTATCGCATCGCAACACAAATTATTTTCAAAGGCCTTCGTTGGCGAATCGCTGACACGAGGCTCTATTTCTTCTCACTCTTCTTGTATGTTTCCTTTCCTTTGGGTGTCCTTTGGTGAAAGGATTTTAAATCTTGAGATTTTGTATTTTTTTTGGTGTCGTGTCCATTAAGGTAGGCATACATTTTCTGAGATTTATTATGTCACCTGTCAGTTCCTTGAATTTTAGGAACTGAAGCTTCTGGGGATTCAATATGGCTTCCATTTAATATTTCGTTTTTAAATCCTAACATTCTATGGAAGTATAATATATAATAGAATTTCAAATGAAAGATATTTTTGATTAAAGATTATCGGGATAATACCCTCCCGATTTTTTTCAATGATATGGTAAATAAATACAATCCTTACTCTTTGTGATCTTTTTTTTTAATATGAGGAACAAAGATCAAAAAACTTTATACAGTTTTTATGAATATCTTTAATTTTAAAACCAAACCATTAAAAATAACATTTTTGAAGACATTATCTTAAGATTCAAGCTCATCAAATTCTTACAAACCAACAAATAAGAATTCTTACGATCGTCAATGAAAAAACGATCATTACCGAAAAGAGCCCAAAAAACTATGCTACAAATTTTGCAACTGGAACTTAAGGATTCATGCTCTCTTAAAAGATCACTTGGAACGTTTTTTTTTTACCTTTAGTTTTAGGGTTAGTTTACCTTTAGTTACCACTTTATTTCTGGTCAAGCAATTGAAACGGATTTGGATGGCGGGAAAATCGCGAATCTGTTGAAGCGGAAATGAAGGCCCCTTCCGCCTTGACAACTCAGAAGATGGCGTCCAGAGTTCGAACGGTTCGAAAAAACAACGGGAAACTAACGGGTCTCCTGGGAAAGGAAACCAGGGAGCTTCCGTGTACTGCAGAGATGAGAAAAATTCAAAGTGAAATTATCGGAGCAGCGTGAAGAAGGCTTGTGGGCTGCGACAAGGGCAGTGGTCTGGAAACCACGTTAAAGGACATCCGCTGGCAAAGCGAAAGAGTTCAAATTGCCGGTAGTCACAAGGACCAAAAATAAAAAAATTGAAAAAGAAAATGTTAACACACACTAACGTCAAAGAGAGAAAGCGATGGCCAAAGAAATGGCGACAGGAAATGACCAAAGCCACGAAAGGCCGGTGATTGAATTGAATTTTTGTTACATTATTTGGCTTGAATTTGAATTTGGGTTTGAGCTTGAATTTTTTGTCCAAAAAGCATAAATATTTAAATCAATAAAATTTTAATTTACCTAAATACTATGAAAATGAAAGTTAAAGATAGAAATAATAACAAAATGTCGAGTAGATTTTGTAAATTAAATTAGGATATTTGCCATTTTTAATATAAATGATCGCAGATGATTTTTTCTTGATTTTCTTACCTTGGTCCATGAAAGGATCTTTGAACTTTTTAATATGAAAGATTAGACAGTATTTTGTAATACTCTCTGGCAGTAATAATATATACTATAGCCTATGACATTTTCCCAAAGATGATCTTTAAAGCCCTCATACGTAGTCGAATCCCCTACCATTCCAGACCTACCCCAGACAATGTAAACTGGAACTAATCGCTTAGTTAGCAATGCAATCCTGCAGCTTGCATTTATCCCTTTCTTTGGATTTGAACTCAAAGGGATTTCTGCAGGCGACCAATGCGGCTATGCCTGCTTAAAGTGTGGATCACGCAAAACCAACGACCGACGACGCATAAAAAAGGTAAATGAGACTGGCCACGGAAATGGAGCTAGCGAGCTTAGAAGATGAGGTGCCACCACTAGTGTGGGGGCGGCAACAAAAGAAGTAGCCACATCAGCAGCAGCAGCGCCCACAGTCGCCTCATCCACCAAATGCCACCACTACACCATTTAATGCCCCGCAGGTCCTTACTCGGCGTCGGTCAATTGGGTAGCCACTCCAAGACACGGTAAAAAAAAAGAGGTTTATGAAATGGGTAAACGTTTAAAACAAGGCTAAAAAATAGTATTATTTTTATAATCTAAAAACTAGCATCTTGGTTTTAAACAAAAAAATCCTAGCTCATTTTTTTAGCAAGAAACTTAAGGATATGTTTATGACGGATCGTTTAAAGGTGTTTGGCTTAGCTTAATAATTTTTTATAACAACCCTAATTAATTGATTCTAAAACACCATCCTTAAAATTAATTCATGTGCATTTAGTGCCCTTGTTTCCCTTTTTTTTATAGAAAATTGCGCATACGCGACGTCGTCGCCCGTCATCCTCTCATCCTCGGCGGAAAGGAAAGCCTGCGTCGGAGAAGTTTCCTCTGCTGTTTTATTTTTCCACCGACTTTGGGAGCCTGCAAACGTGAGCCACCTAACAAAAAGAGTTTCTAATGATTTTTGCGCCATGTTTGTTGTTTTCCTCTGAGTTGTTGTTGTTTTTTGTATTGTTGTTTTGTGCCTGGAGAGGACACGGAAATGAAAATCGAAAGAATGGTTGACCAGGCCGTAGCCGAGGCCTCTAAGTCTCCACCTCGTTCTTCTCTTTTGGCGCCCATGCGAATGCAAATAAATTCAATCGATTGCCGGTCCAAGTTGGCAATGCCAGTTGCCAGAAGGAGGCAGAAGGCAGGTGGAGATCTGCCCCAGCCTTTGGGCCATGCATGCGTCTGCTGCATTGTTTGGTTTATTGCGGGGCTTGGAGATGGTGGTGATGGAGGTAGGTGGAGCACTGGGTGGGTGCAGTGCCTCCTCGAAGTTGCCGTTCGCGAATCCTATTATTTAGAAAAGCAGAACACATACCCACCGAACCGTCCAGTTCAGTTCTAAGCTGCGAAATGAAAATCCCCTGTGAAGGGGGGTGGCTTGTGGGTTGGGGCAAATGTGTCGGAGGAAATGGGAAAAAGAGGGAGACACATGCTCAAGCCCAAAACCAACATAGAAGAGCCGCAGCCTCTGTCTGTTTCTCGTTCTCGAATTTTCCGTGCGATTTGCAAGCGCAACATTTCCACCAAAAACCCAAAGGCAAACAAACATTGTTCACTCGGAGAAAAAAATGATTTACCACAAAATCTTGGTAGAACATTTCTTTAGTTTTTTGTCCTTAAAATGAATAAGACTTTTGAATATTAAATTTTGTTCCAATTAATCATAAACCATCCTTAAAAGCTGATAATTAAGAAAGATCCAAATACAGATTATAAGAAAA